GTGAGCTTTACCGTTTTTAGGATAGGATTTTAAGACCAGTATCAAAGTGCTCATGAATTCGATCGAGCTAATGCTTTTTACCGCTTGATAAGCACCTATACTACATCAGATGAAGATATAGTCATGACAGCAACTTCTGCAGAAGACCCTTCAGTCAATTACCTAATAGCAGCTGCTAGAGCACTTCCAGTTAGAGCAAGTGGTGACTAGATGACAAAACGAAAAGCCAAGCAACTCCCCAGTGTTATTCATTCTGTTCCAAGTCTTCAGTCGACGTAAACTCTCACTGATGACTCACAATAGTTTTCTCATACAGGAATCTCCCTATCTGTCCTAAACGGTCGTCTTGTGTTCGGAAATTGATTTGTCATCCCTTCATAATCAGACCCTGAGTTAGTTTTATTTTGGTCACCTAGATATCGAATGCAGGAAATCAGTTGCGCTTAACTGAACCTACCAGCAATAGATGGACCAGAAAACCACAGAATATGTGGATAGATGTACAGAATTTCAACCAGCAGCTAAGCATCCTCCACGAGTACCACCAGTATACTAGCCACGACCTGAACACCCATGGTCAAGTGTCCTCATCGACTTTCCCGGACCATCTGACGAAAACCACTTTCTATTTTTGGTTTATGCTTGCCCCGAATGTCTGGAAGTCGCAGCTATCAATCTACCCAGCACCAGGTGGACGTTACAATTCCTGGCCAATAGGTTCTGTTGACGCTGTCTGTCCGACACTATCATCTCTGACAACGGTTCTCAGTAGACATTCAAATAGTCCAAAGATTTTTTCCTGCGACATACCACAGGTTACAAACTTCCCCTGCCATTTCATCCAAAATTCACCGAGCTAACTGAAGGGTTTTTGGAAACGTCCAGGAGACCTATACCTAATGCACAATGGGAAGAGACGTCCTCGGACATTGTTCGAAAATTCTCCTTTATGTACTGAACATCATGAACAGACACACTCCCAAGCCATCAAAGTCAGTCGGAAGGAATGTTAAGGAAGCTGAGAACGCCACACAACCTCTAGATTTCTGAGCAACCAGTAGCTAATTTATCAGCTGTAAAAATATTTCAAAGTTAGGGCATTAGGGTTCACCAAAGGGAATAGAGAGGGACACGACAAGTGGATAGAAGGATTGATTATTAAGAGACACGGCAACACTGCACGATGTGGCAGTTTAACCGGAAACAGTGTGACACAAGAAGAAACTTAAACGGATTGCATATGTCGGGATGGGCATCAGAAGCAATGGGCTTCCCCTAGATACACTGCCAGATAGGCTCGGGATACCATGCCCAAGGTATATCGAGAAACTTGGTGACTCTCAGGCAAATAAGGAAATACTCCTGCTTTGTCAGTCAGATAAGAGCAAGGAAAGATAGTATGTTTCTATACTCACTCCGAGTAGTATCCGTCTAAGGTGACAAGTGATAAGTGGTTCGGAAAAACTAGTCCAGAAAAGACTAGTCAAAATGTACTTTGCGTTAATGGCAACCGCAGTTAGACTGACAGACGACCAGTCAGTCAATACTGCTTTTAAGCACCAGATTTTGTGCACTTCTGGATATATTCTTTTTGATGACTACTTCAGCTCTCCAGTCTGAACAAATGCTTCTACTCGTCTCAGTATTTTTCTGCAAATTATTTGGGTTGAAAATCAACTAGGAAGTTCTAGAAGCCTCGAGCAGATAGTAAAATAAAACCTCACTAATGGCTCCACATTCAACCTTGACTTAAGTTAAACAACTTGGTGACGAAATTAAAACAGTACCTCGAACACACGGCAAATTACAGTTGAATAAAATAGACTACAGGTGACAATTGTAAAATAAATTTTGCTTGAAAGAGAAGACTGGTAAGAATATTTCGATGACTGAGCAACACCGAAAGTAGAGAAACAAGGCAATGAAAGTAAGCTCATACAGAAACAAAATTAGGAAAGTGAGGACAATTGTTGCTGCTGAGGTGATACAGGTGGGGCTTTGGTACCACATTTCCCCACACCCTCTTGCTTTTAATTTTGTTGCTGTACTAGTAATTACGATACCTTTGATTATTGAAGTTGAGACCGCGTATCCCAATTCCTCCACGGTGTTAGTGGTAAATGTTATTGCTTGTAATTACTGAGACAAAATAGGTCGATACAGTGTTACAGTGATTTCCTCCAGTCTCTAAATGCCCGTTAGGCTAGGCGAGACGGAAAGCAGCTCAAGTTATTTTAGGAATACACAGCTTGTGGACTTATTAAACACCAGCTCTCATTAGGAATCGTAAGTTGTGAATGTCACTGGTTTTTAGAATTCTACTTGCCGTCTCTTCAGCGTATTTCATACTTCACAAAGTTCCGCATAGTGCTGAAACTCTGAACTATACATCCCGCTTTATTTCAGTGGTAAGCCCCAAGGAAGATGAATCCCGTTCCGTGCAGTGTAAATAATAACCGGTGTTCGTATCGCTGTGTTCCAGAATGCAAGCATACCTTTTACATTAGCGATCGTATTAAAAGCGTGTCTCTTGCGACATATATTTCCTAATCTACGTTGATAAATAGCTCACAGGACTACTGATGTTTTGGATTTTTTTTGTGTATCCTAGGCAGGCCATTGCCTGCTGGACCATGCCGTTTCAGGAAGTGATCCTCAAGGGAAATCAGTGGTCGGACATGTTAATGTGGCTCAAAACCAGTCACAGTGGCGCATATATATTCTTTCACATCATCAAAAGTTTCCACTAAAAATAACTTACTTTCCTCTTTCTTCCACTAACTTCTGTCTACGCTAATATCACTCATTTTTTATCGAAGTCTTATTTGAATGCTGCTATGAAGTATGATAATAACTCCCCTATATTATGTTAACGTATGCATAAATTCTAGTGAGGCTCTAAACGACAAGTTCACACTATTCTTTTAAATATTCATCACGAAGTTGCCTATGTTGTACACCGAAGAAAATGTGAAGGAGCAAGAAAATGCATAGCATTACAGCAGAAAATAAGCCACATTCCTAAGGAATCCATGCCCGTCAGTTGCACTACTACAGGTGTATAGAAAAACATACGATGACAACAAAGTCCACATAATGAATATAACATTCGTACTTGAAAAGCTTTAACACCCTGGACGAAACAGTAAATAACAGTTTCTGACTCATCACAGACTATTATTGCGAAGAAAAGAGTCATAGAATGTCCATTAGGACTTTGATAAACGAGAAGGCGACGCATTATGAGGAATCAACGTCACAGACCAATGCTCTTTAAATATCATTCGAACGGTGATGGATAGTGATGTCAGAGGTGCCTTACACACAGAAAACAAGGAATGAAAAAAAGTTGGCCGTTAAACTCACATTAGAAAAATGAGCAGCCGCTTGTTTACACGATTAACCACTTTCTCACCGCATGCTAAAGATGAATGAATGGGGTGTTTCTGGAAATATTTCGGTAATACACTACCTGAACTTGAGTATTATAACCCATTCAACACCGCCAAGCTCTATCTCTACACGGGTACTAATAAATCTAAGGTTACAGGATATGAAATATTAGTGTAAATTAGTTACCTAATTGTCAGTTGTTCAAGCCATAACACAGAGGTTTCTAGGAGTCCTAATTCGAGTGCAGTTGATCCATCATGCTATCCTGTTGAGCGCGTATCATGTTCCGATTTTTGACCTTGAAATTACCGATCATTTTAACAGAGCTGTGATTAACAACAACAACAACAACTCCTTCAAGTCAGGTTACTATGCACATAAGCATGATGAATTCCACAACAAACACAAGAATAAAGCTTATATGATTCAAATTTTACCATTTAGGACGCTTGTCTTTCAAGTGGTTTTAAAACCCACAACACAAGGTGAGTTTAAAAGTATTTGCAGATATCGATTGTATTATGTTGGGTATCTGTAGTTTTGAACATGAAGTAGGTCATCTTCTTAGGTAAACAACATTATTCTCTCAGAAACTCAAGCTAATAGAGTAAGACAAAGTAAAGAAAACATAGTACCTTTCTGATAATGTCAACTCAAATCACGATAAGGAAGATAGTAGGATTTGATTCATAGTCACGTCTAGCTGTACTAGTATTGACTATTCAGAAGAAAGATCAGTAACTTACCATATGTAAGAGTATACACAGTTATCTACATCTGTACATTTACTTCATATTTCAACCAGTTAGACAGTGAAAACGAGCTTACAGAAGTTGGAAATATGGAGCATTGGATTCTGACCCAGTGGCTCAATGGTAAAGGTCGCGGGTTCGATCCTCGATGGTGCGGGGTCGTGGGTGCGCACTGCTGAGGAGTCCCATACTAAGACAAAACAACTGTCCAGTGCTCCCAGGTTTCCTTTGTTCCTCCAACGCATGTCAATTTACAATGAATAACAACTTGAAAACGGAAATTATTGTAGACATATCGAAGTCGATACTATCGTTAACATTAAGGCTCAAACTCTATCAAATTCAGAATAAGTAGAGCTTAAGAAGTTTTAAATACAATGAATCAGAAACTCCACATGCTGATGATGATGAAAATTGTCATGCACAAGATCTGTTGCATTCATGAATACTCAATAACTGATGCATAATCAAACAGACAACGAATGCATAGAGAATCTAAACGAAAACACTAAAGGTGACGGCAACCTTCATTAGGATGTATAATAAATGCATCTTTGATGCGGCTTATGTAGAACTTGATAAAAAGTACTCATCAGATTAAAGTGAGAAATACTGGAAAGATATTACCTTTATCATCTTTTATACTGAATAGTAAAACAAACCACTGTACCAACAATAAAATACTTCAGATATTGTTAACAGAAAAAAGGGTATGGAATAGATACACGCAAAATTTTCTTATAATAATAACATATGAATTACTGTATTAGTATTATTTTGCAGTGATATGAACATTTAATAAACACACACATCCAGTAGTATAAACTGAATGAATTGTAATTAAAAATGAGTAATTCATGTACCAAAAACTTTTACTGAACGATCACGACTAGTTGAAATCACTGTAGTTGCATTCTCACCGAAACGAACTCCAGTTGCTGGAGCTGTATGTGCATTGAAAGAAATCAATTGATCCCATTGTTTACATAAATATACACGTACATCTGTACCTGCAATGGCAAGATATGAACCAGATTGATCGAATTCAACATCATTTATTTCGTATGAAGAAGGTTGATCCTCTCCAGGAATCTAAATAAAAAGTAAATATGAAAGAAAACGTGTTACATAACTATAGTAATGAATTTATTTCAGATAATTTCTACTTTTCATGTGAACTTACATAAAGTAGTCTTTATCTTAGACGATATAAGCTAGACTGTTAGGCGGCACAGACGAGGATGTCAAAACCAGGATCAGAAAAGCAAGACAGGCTTTCAATAACTTGAAACCAATGAGTAGATCTTCTGCACTCAGCACAAAGAAAAACATCCGGATTTTCAACAAGTTAGTGCTGCCATATGGTGATTGAGAGACTTGGCGCGTTACAAAAAGCATTTCCAACAAACTACAGACATCATACATCAACAGCTGCAGCCTACGCTCACTTGATACCGAAGATCAGATGGCCAGAATAATGAGAATAAGCAATAAGGAACTCTGGCAACGAACTAACCAAGAACCTATCAACCAACAAATATGCAGATGGATTAGGCATACACTGAGAAGACCACTCGTGCATATCACGCGTCAAGCACACTCGAGTAGGATCTAAAGGGAAAACGACGAGTTGGGCGTCTGAGGCGAGGGTGACACAGAGCAGATCGTGTGAAGAATAAATGAGAGCTTGTAGGCTGTCGTGGAGCCAGGTTCAAAAGATTGCAGAGAAGAAAGTGCAGTGGAGACGTGCTACTGAAGCACTATGTTCCACTAGGAACCCAAGGGGTAAATAATAAATCCGAGTATAATGATGAAGATTAAAAATGTGTTTAGGATACTTCTTTTTAACTGTGACCATATTCCGATTGAACATTCAACCTACTACACAAATTAATCTGAATTGTAATACTGCCAGTAAATTTATTTGTGTATTGCAGATAACATAAAAACCGTGAACACATTGTCTACCTTTATGAAATACAGAGACATGTAGGGTAAACAAAGATACTAGTATTGTAGAAAACGACAAAACCGAGTCAAAGGAAAGAACTAATGTTTATTATTGACATCTGGTATAGTGTAGTGGGTGTTGCTGATAAGAATGGATATAAGTAGTATATGTTGACAGGGTGGCAGAAATCATAGGGAATTACCAACAACAGGTAGGGATTCTGCCAAGAGAAACACAAGAGACAAGGCAGGCGTATGAAGAGCAAATCAAGAAAGCGGCAGAAGAGAAAATGAAGCATATTTTGCAAATGACGGTTTTAGTGCAAGGAGGTGTACCACATTTATCGACTACTGTCCCACTCAGTTGACAATAAACACTCCTTCCTGCATGTCAGTCTTTTTCTTCTTCGGATTGGTGTCACCGCTTCTGGGCGTGATGAAGATTTCGTGGCGTGCAGAGTTTGGGGATGGGGACCTCAAGGTCTTTCTCAGGGACTTCGAGTCGGTTGCGGAGCTCGTGGGTGTCCAGGATCCAGGAGCGAAGGTGGTGCTTGGCACATTGTTGAGGGGTAGAGCGAAAGCAGCATATAACGGCGTGGAACGTGGAGAGGGGAAGGAGACTTGGTAGAGAATGGTTGAACGACTGGAGGCGGAGTTCGATAGCCCGGCGGACAGGGAGCTGGCGATGCAGCAGTTCCGGAGCACGAAACTTGGAATAGACGAAGATCTGCTGGTATTGGCTGTGAAGTTAAATAAACGACTTCGACGAGTACTTCCCACGTTGGATGAGAAATTTCAGGAACAGCTGCTAGCTGCACAGTTCACCGAAAGTGTCCCAAGTGCCATCGCCCAGCAGCTACTAGTCAACGCTGCCCAACCCATGGATATTAGTGAGATGGCCAAGTTGATCAAACAGCTGATGGGTACAGCAGTAGTAGTCATCAAATATTGTACACTAGGACAATCATCTGAATAATGTGCTTCATTTCCTCTTCTGCCGCTTTCTTGATTTGATCTTCATACGCCTAAGTTGTCTCTTGCGTTTCACTGGACGGAATCTCTACCCATTGCTGGTAATTCCCTATGATTTCTGCCGTCTTCTCAACATATACTACTTATATCCATTCTAATCAACAACGTCCACTACAGTATCATTTATTGGATAACATTTCGGACAGAATGTATTGTCCATATTCTCATATCAGGTAACTAACTCCACAAATTTGAGACATGGTTTTTTACAGTCTTAATTTTCTCGCCTTCTTTGTGATAACGGGAGTAATAGAGTTTTTCATATATCTGGAGCAGGTGCAGAATCATTCCCTGTTGCATGTACTTAGTGTTGATTCGATGAACTAAGATTCGGTTATCAATCTTTTCTTCACTCCACTCAACTAAGTCAGTTTTTAAAACTGTCGCTCTAACCCACCCCCTTATGTCTGATTGTGTGTAATTGCGTGCATAGCTAAGCTTTTCTCTAAGTTTTTTTTATCGCATTAGGATCTACTAATCTTGATTTACCTACCGTTTTGTGCTCTGTAATGCTGACTGTGGTCAACTACTTTCATCTATGTATTTGACCTTGTTTAACTGCATCAGTAGGGTTTTTTAAACCTACACAGCTCATTTCTAAGCGAGTTTATTGGTTGAAATCCTACTCTAATCCCAGCCCCAATGAGAATTCTTCATAATGCTCCTGAGGTGCGTTCCTTGTATGGTAACATAGAAGAGGCTTTGAATTCTCTCTCAACCCTGTCACCATTATTATTATTATTATTATTATTATTATTATTATTATTATTATTATTATTATTATTATTATTATTGTTATTATCACTACTACTACTGTCAGTATTTTTCTATCGATTTCTTATGAATTTATTTAGAAATTTAAGTGGATAATTATTGAGATGCAACACATTCTTGGCGTGTCTAATTTCTTGTCGTAGATATTCTATCCTATTAATAAGCTCTGCTACCCTATTACTTAACCATTTAACTAAACCTACTTTAGCTGAGATCGGGTACGATGATGTGAAGTCGAAGTAGTGATATGCATGGGAAGGTTTCTTACAGAAACTAGTCTCTAAACTTCCATCTAGTTTTCGTTTAATCTTGCGATTCAACATTCTTAGCTCACAGTCATCGCTTTCTACGTCACAGGTAAGTTGGATTGCATTCACAAATGCCTCTATATATGTGTCGAGAACCTATTGATGTATTCCGACTTCATTATTGAGCACGTATCATCTAGATATGGAAACCACACGTTTGGAGTAGGACGGAGATATTGATAACTGCATCTTTGTTGACTGAATCAACACTAAATATATGGAGTGATAGGAATGATTCTGCACCTGTCCCAGATATGTGGAGACTTCTACTATCCTTGTCTTCACAAAGAAGCAGAGAAAATTAAGACTATGTAATGCCTGTTTCAGTGCTGTGTCCAAAACACTGTTATCCAGTAAATGGTACCGTTCCTTTACTGAGAGTGGAATTGCTAAGAAACGGACTAAAATGGGATAACAATCTACCACAGTGCTCAAGTTTAGCTCTTATACTAGTATAAGTATACTAACAAGGATGTTGACAGAAAGTAGTGGGTGATTCAAGAAGGAAGTAAACAACTGTCGAAGACAATTTACCACAAGCTGTCACACAGATATGAGATTTAGTAAACTGATGTAATTCTTTGTAATTCTTTGAAATGAAGCAATAGGGAGAAAAGTAAAAGTTAACAGAAGTGAATTTGACTATTAAGTTATTACTATTATTATTACAGTATAAGTAGTTGTAGAAGTTATGAAAATATAATTATAATAGCTTTGTGATAACGGAACGCAATGCACTCAGTCAAATGGTACACATCCATGCAGTAGGCAATGAGTTACATCGATGATGTAATAGATAAGGATACTATCTGACTGCCTAAATCTCAGTAGGTGGAGTGGGATTTAAACCTGTGACCCCTACAAGATGATAATCATCTACCTAAAACACTGAGTCAACCCTTACCAAGGTTTTGGAGAGACTAAAGAATGCCCTAGATTCAAAACTACGACCGGATTCATGAAGAAATCATGTGCGGAACACTTTGCATCACTACGCATCATCATAGAACACAGCATAAAGTGGGAGAATGGCAACTATCTACCTCAACTTCATCGACTTTGAAAAAACCTTCGACAGTGTCGACCGAGAAGTAATTTGGCAGGCAATTGCTCCAACACTATGGAATACCACAAACCTTTATCAACCTCATTCAATAGCAGCTATACGACGACGCTACATACCAAGTAATTCACAATGGGAAGCTCAGTGATGCCTTTGAAGTGAAGACAGAAGTAACACAAGGTTGGGCATACGCTGGCTGGATCGATGAAAAGACCCTAGAAGATTGGGATTTCGTCGACGATTTGTGTCTAATGTCACACAAACTCGAAGATGTACAGGAGAAAACTAACAAGTTGACAGAGGAGTCAGTGAAGACGGGACTTCAAGTAAATGTAGAGAAGACAGAGGTGATGAAGATACTCAACCGACAACAACAAGCACCAATCACCATTAACGGGAGAAATCTAAAGCAAGTAGCCTCTTTCACCTTTCTAGGCAGCATCGTTTCAACTACAGGCGGCACAGACGAGGATGTCAAAGCAGTCAGGATCGAAAAAGCAAGACAGGCTTTCATTAATCTGAAACCAGTGTAGAAGCCTCTTGCACTCAGCATAAAGAACAAGATCCAAATTTCTAACACTAATTCAGTGAAGTCAGTGCTTCTATATGGTTCAGAGACTTGGCATCACGAAAAGCCTTTCCAACAAACTACAGATATCAACAACTGCCTACGCTCGTTGCTGAAGATCAGATGGCCAGAATAATGAGAATAAGCAACAAGGAACTCATTGTGGCTGGCTGGCAACGAACCAACCAAGAACCTATCACTCAACAAATATGCAGATGATTGGATTGGGCATACACTGAGAAAACCATTCGTGGACATCGAGCAACAGGTCAGCTGCTCGAGTGGAACGAAGATGGGAAACGGTGAGTTGGGCGTCGAAGTCAAGGGTGACATGGAGGAGATGGTGTGAGGAAGAAGTGAGAACCTCTGGGCTGTCATGGAGCCAGGGTCAAAAGATTGTAGAGAAGAGAGTGAAATGGAGACGCGCTACTGAAGCCCTAGGCACCACCAGGAACCCAAGGGAAAAATAATAAAATAATAATAATAATTACCAAGGTTTTAAAGTTCTTTAATTTTCGTAAATCCCAAAGTTTCACTTGACTATCAGCTCCACTTGTTGCTAGATAATATCCATTCTCTGAGAATGCTACAGCTGTAACAGGTTGATTAGCACCTGAACCATGAGCGAAATTGGCAACATTACGTCGTTCTTTAACATCCCATATTTTCACTTCACCATCAGCTGTACCCGTACCAAGAATTAAACCATCAGGATGGAATTGTGCACATGTAAGAGCTATAATTGACAACAAACAAAAAAAATTGAAATGAATACAATTTCATACTTTTATTCATAATTAGTCTGAAATAACTTTACGTAGTAAACAGATGCAAGAAATGTATATTCATTAAAATAGGCTTCATTTTGAACTAGGATTAGACTGGTCACAATCACTGTGAATGAACGTTACATTAGGAAAGTGTTAAGTATACATGAAAATTATTCAATTTGAAAAGTTGACTGAAACAAAAAGACCGCTCAGTTTCTGGCTAATTGACATATTTTTAAGTCAAATTTATTTCATATTGACATTGCTACAGATACACAGTGAATAACAGAAGATCCTAGAGGAAGGATTAAAGAACGACTACACTGGAACAATGTTAACTTTGGATCCAGCAGCTGATTTGCTTAGCATTAACGGGGGGGGGGAATTGTTAAAATCCTTAGTCATAGGAAAAGTACTACACAGAACCATGGTTCAAGTTACCACACTTCACAGTAGTATACACAGAACAAGTGGATAGAACAGAACAGAGTAGACAAAAAAAAGTCTAAGGAGAGAAGGAATTTAAAAAAGAAGGTTAGTCAGAAACATTCAAGCTTTAGAAGATGTCTCAGGGACACTATGCAGGTAGTTTATACCTCCCTACAAGGCTTATACCAACAGTTAGTGACTTCACCCTTTCCACACTTGTTATATGGTGTAAACGTACGCCCAAATATAAACTAGTTGAACAGCGTTGACCCAGAATTTATGATCTTGCTGAATATAGAAACTTTAATGTATGCCTTTCTTTTTCTAATATTTAATAGCCAACATATTTTTGAAGTTGGTGAGATTTCACCTCAAGATCTGCATCAGTTCACGAAATTTCAGATATTCCTTATTATACTGAATAGTTTTTTGATTCTACCATATAACATGTAATGTCCATTTTAGTTATAATCTTTGACAAAATAGACACGAAAATCAAATAGTTAGTTTTAAAAACTGACCTTGTACACTACCAGATTTATCCACAGCCGAGATTCTAACCAGAACGCGACCGTGTCGCAGATCACTAAACGCCCATTGACCATCTGAACTGCAGGATAATAAGTAATCTCCAGTTGCATGAATGCTTAATCCAGTTACAGGTCCTTTATGTGCACGAATTATACTTGCACACTGACCTTGTTCTACTCCCCAGACTCGTAAAGTTGTATCCGGAGATCCTGTGAATACTAACTCTTCGGAGGGATGATAAACAACTTTTGTAACCTTCTTGGTATGTCCCTTGAGAATGGATATAACCTGTAAAACAAAGAGAAAACACAACAAACACGTTTAAACTGGATATTTTTTCTAATAAATACATTTAAAATTAGGGTGATTAAAGGTGTAAAACAGATGAGTGAATCTTCCTAACTTGCCTTTTTTGAAGTTATTTACAGTGACCAATAGAAGTAACTTTTAGTTTCCGGAAGAAGTTAAAATCCTGAGAAAAGAGATGGCGCACAATTTAAGCATTTGCGTTGTTTTCAGGATTACTAACTCGTCCAAGCAACTAGGGATTTTAACGAATAAGCGCCTATGGGTTCAAAAATTCCAAGTGAACTATTCATTCTTGGTCAGTTCCTTGGTATGATTTGTGAAGTTTGAAAGTAGCCAATACTTCGAAAATGTCTGGTACCAGGGTAACAATATGGCAATTGTAACAAACCTTGAGGTGTTCTCCAGATAAGTATTAAAATTTCAGCAATAAAAGAGTGGATCATTCGTTTTTAAAAGTTCTAGCAGACTTTCTAAGTAGCTTAGTGAGCGTATTTAGGTAGAGCGGGAAATAGTATTTTCTGGCCTAAGTGTTCTGATGTCAATGGTAAAGAGTAAATTTTAAAAGTGCCTGAGAATCTTTTTTGTACGAAATTATGCTATAAAGTTAACTTCCTATCACACTACTAATTTGACTGCATGAAAAATACAGTAACTATTGTTGTTGAAAACTTATTTCACTTCGAAAGCTTTTAATCATAGATAATTCGTACCGATAAGTTATAAAATGTGAGCTATCAGGACAGCATAAACAAAATTATGTACCGTGAAAGAAAGAAAAGTGAAAATAATACTCACTTGTGCTGTAGATAGATCAAATACAACTGCATTCTTATCATTACCTCCTGTTACAATCCTTTCTGTTGATGTCTTGCTTATGTCCAAACAATTAATGCCAGGCATACTTGCAGAATGTAAGCCTACATGATTTGCCAATTGTTGATATTCAGATATTGTTCGAGATTTAGCTAATCCTTCTGGAACAGTTTTACCACGACGTTTACGTTCTGCAGTAAGTTGACTAGCTCTTTCCTGGAGAGTACTAATTACCTCTTCGCTTATACCAATTTCTTCTTGTAGCTGAAAAATTGAAGAGAAAAAAAAAGGCAATACGATGAAAAGAAGTACTTCAGGTCGTAGGGGGGGGGGGATTGAATAAATAAGACTCACTGAATGATCGTAAAGTGATTTCGGTTAAAAAGTAGCGTAAATAACAACAAAAATGCTATGAAGTACATAGTTAACTTTTCCTTAATTAACAAACTAATTACGCACTGTATGCTTGGACTATGTTCTCAAAATCTCCTGAATAGTTTCGAAGACATGTACGTATTTGAAATAAAAAAATAATTTGCTGGTGAAATGGGATTCACAAAAAATCCTAGTATAATGAGAGCTACTTATAACTATGCATATAAGTAGTACATATATAGGAATGTCAAAAGTGTTTAACGATTGACTGATGAGGAATCAAGCAACAAGAATACACACAAGACTGGATAGAAATGTAAAGGGTAAGAACAGTTTCAGTAATTTATTCTTATCAGTTGCACTTTCAAAATAAACAATTTTGGTTGCATCATTTGCCTTTTCTTCACTAATAATGACCGATATAGTAATTTACTCTAACAAATCTTACTGTAAGTACACCACCTAGGAATGTTATTTAGTAAGATGGGAAATAATACGGTGGTACAAACTAGCCAATCCTTTGAAATCTCGGAACTTCAAATATAGGAACAGGTGAAAGACCGGAGCTAAACATTAGCTTGAATTACTTGAGAGAAATGCAAACAGAGAAATAATCATTTATCCTACTATGCTGTAGAGTATACGGCGAGAAAATGAGTCCAACTTTAATAAATAATGAACAAGGAACTAGATAAACGCTAATTTTACCTATAATGTAGTCTCTTTGGAACACAGATACAATTTTTTCACTAAGGTGATTTTTATTGTCAACAAATACAGATCATTATCATTTTGATTATCCGAGATAGCCGAAGTTTGGCAGACTAGTATTTATACTGGGTGGTGATTGGAGGTGAAATGAAAATTTGGACCGCGGCTGACTGACTAGCAGACTACTTTGTTGGCGTTTTGTGTTGATTAGGAGCAACAGAAAGACGGAATGAGTAACGTTGTGGATTTTATAAGACACGGTGATGCGTATGTTACAAGGTGAGTGGTGTATGTGTTTTTGGGGAAGTTAATGATTCCGGTGGTCGCTGGTTCGAATCCGGTAACGGTCGGAATTATTATTTCACTTTCAATCATCACCCAGTATAAATACAGACTAAAAAAAATAGAGATCACTTTTATCCATAAAAATTTACTAAGCTTATATACACATTAGATAGGTATTTGTTACACATCCAAACTATCTCAGTCAACAAAGATTCATCTCTTTGTGAAAGAGTACTGAAAACAAAGCTCAGACGTAAGGTCGAAATTCTAGCCAATTACCAAAATTCCTAAACGAAAATCTTACAGTTGATATAGCTTATTTAATATTTGTGTTATACATACATGAGAGCTGATACATATAGACAACAAAACAAACATTCAACGATTGTTCTGAACAAACTCGAAAATGTTATGGTGTTATTTTACAGTAGACCAGTGATCCTGTTAGTTAACACCTTTCTAGCCTCGTAATAATTAAATACCAACAAGGTTACATGTAACTGCGAGTATTTCATCACCAACCAGCTTGGTACTAATACATTAACCTTATTTTATGAAGCAGTTCAGTTATTAAGGGAAAACATTTGGGGAATGTTCTTAAATTTTAAAATATCCACTAGGTATTATTTCTTTTTCAAGGACAACTGATGAAAAACAGATTAAAGAATATGTAAGATGGATTAGATTGACAGAGGGTTCAAAGTAGCTAGACTAATATGTGGCACTAGTTTATAAAGTCCCCGACTGTTAGTGTGAGCTGTGTAAGAAAATATACACTAACTAGTTGGGATTTCCGAGACGACAGGAATCAATGATTGAGAACGCTTGGTGATATGGTTGAAAATTCGTCACAGTGGATCAAATTCATTCGAGCTCTCTGATATCTTTTAAAGCTTGCATACTAACCCTTGACTTTATATTCTTTCACACAACTTTATCTACTCTGATAACATTATTTACACGCTATTGTGCAGTGTGGCAGCTTGAACCAGTAGACCTAGGTGCTAGGTTCAACTTTGATTCTTAGAGTTCGGGAGAATGATCTAATTCAGTCAAAACCAAACAGACGATGTACATAATGAACCGTAACATGTAGCTTTAATACACACTAACCAATGAAGAGATATAGCAAAATGTTATGAAAGAAACACTGTCATAGTGGTAAGATTATGAGCAGATAATGTGATGCTTACGGTTTGGTGCAGACCAGAGGGTAAAGTAATACTTTTGGTTGGATAGTATGACAACAGAAAGGTGCCTCTCGTGGATAGGTAGAGTTCGAAAAATGTGAATCTAAAAATGACATTCTTCCCTTTTTATGGTTTTCCGGCGAAGTGAACTTTTTTAATCCAGATGTATCATAATCAAATCTAAATCCTAAACTCACAAAGCTGCGTGAAACCTGCCCCAAGCAGATGTCTTTTGGTATATGCGGTTACGCAAAACTAATTTGCTTTCTCATTTAGGCATCCCATGAAGTCAATAACTTTTACAGTGTGAACAGACAGGAAGCACCAATCGCCCAAAAGCTTACAACAGTACACAAAACTTACCTGATCATATAACCTACCTACCTTTTTTCTCTTTCCGGGCAACACTAAGATCCAGTTACATTTAAATTATTCGCGTTTCACTTAAGAAAGAAAAACACCAGTAAAGAAGGAATTCTATCTGATGAACCTATCTTATATCTTAACAAAGCTATATTTTCCCTTGGTTTATGTGAAAAAGGTAGCTACGCAGCTTTGTGTCATTTTATGCATTTGACACTGAACGTGTGATCTAATCCCAAGTAAATCCGATTTTCCAACACTGAGTTACTCCGAATGGCACCTGGTTGATTTGGAAGACTACACTGCTATCTTAGGCGGAAGTATTTATGAAATACAATTTTAAGAACACCTTATGCAAAAATTCAAGAATATTTTGTATACCTTTTCACACTTGTCAAACGCAAGACTAGCCTGCGCCAACTCCTAGCTTAAGGATAGTGAACGAAGTAGTAGAATATGTTAACCAATTTTTTTAATTCAAGTCGGTTGCCGATGAAATCCCACTTCCGATCATCATCATAAATATCAACATAAGACCAGGCATTACTGAGTAACGGTACCAGTCGCCACACCTCATATCAGTACATCACGTAAAAAGACAGTCAAGTAGAAGATGAAGAGAAAATTCAGTCAGAAGAAATATAAAGTACGAAAAGAGAGAAACGAAAAATGAGAAAGTGGTGAGATTCGGTATAGCCTCGTTAAGATGAGGATAATGTGTATACATCTACGCCACTGACATCGGTTCTCAATCATATCACCTACAGTCAGTCTCCAACCACTGGTTCCTCTTGTCCCGCCGACCCCAACCACCTAGTCTGCATCACCCCACATGGCTCAAACCAACAGTCAGAGACTTCATACATTGGTGCCATGTTTTAGACTGGCCACCTCGAGCCTTTTTCCAGCCTGGACCTACTTCGGCCAACATTGTGTGACGAGGCAATCAGTGACTAGGCATATGTAGTACGTGTGCAAACCATCTCAGTCGATGAAGGTTCATAATCTCGTCAACTGATTTACCTCCACTCCCTAAAACTCTATACCTGACTTCTGTGTTACTCACGTGGTGACTCTACGGAATACAGCCTATACAACGAAGGCAACAGTGGTCAAACACCTGAATCCTCCTCATATCTTTCTCTTTGAGTGGCCATGTTTTACAGACATGCAGTGAAACAGAGCGGACTACTGTACAGTACACACGACCCTTAATAGACAATCAGATATCACGGCGACACCATAGGTGGAGTAAATTGGCAAAAGCCAGCCGAGTCTTGTATTCGTGCAGAGTTCATCGGACACTGAGCCACCAGGGTAGGACTCATCCTACTTCCCAGGTAAGTGGAATGGTCAACACACTCAATCACTACACTCTCTATTATTAGCCGTGGCACCATTGAAGACCAATCCTGGAGCAACAATTTGCATTTAGGTGGTGAGAAACGCATCCCAAACATTCTCAAATTGACACTCAAAGTGCTCAGAAGACTCTGCATCTCATCAGTCAGCGTCTTCACCTAACAGGACTATGTCATCTGCATATTCTAGGTCTAACGAAAATTCTCCAGTGATTAGGTCAACGTCTGTGTAATCAGGTGACAAGAGGGAGACCTCCATGAGAATATCTATGATAAAATAGAATAAGAATGGAGAGAGTGGGCATCCTTGACGGACACCACCAGATGAGCATAGCTCCCTGGACCCACATCAGATACAAAAAGTCCCTTTGGCATTTGCTAATTTACGCGATATGTACCGAGTGACGAAGTAGGACTAAGTTGAAAGAAAGACTACGGTAGTCAGATCAAGACGTTTCACCAATTTGAAAGGTCTCTGGTTGTTGGTTCCAGTCACTTAGGCTACTTTTCCTTAAATCCACTCTTCCTTTGAGTGTTGCTGTAGGGCGAAAAAACTTGAAACAATTCACTTACATCAGGTTCTGGATTTAGAAAGCATTTTCTGCTTGTCAACTAGCAGTGAAAAGTAATGTAAATGAATATTTGCAAAAAATATCTTACGTATCTCATAAGATGAACATGGCAAAACAACCGATAGTAAGAAATGAAAAACGAGGTGTCACTGATTGAAACAAACGGCAGTTCAAGGTTAAGTCATTGTGAAAAGGTGTACATAACATAACGCACAAAGCCAGTGAGGTATAAAAGTTGATGTGTCAAATACTCTCAGAGAAAGTTTATTCTGTAAAAGGTACTCATATTGAGCTGATTTTTCGTCAGCAAAATGTGTGCGGTGAAATATTATTTAGTAGCATTTGGGTCCTGATACACACTTACAGCTTCAAAGAATATACTAAGACAAAGTGTCGAGAAAGTAATGGCGCGAGTCAAATTGGATGGAATGGGATTTCAGCCTAGTACCCTTATCTTGAAAGTCAAATGTAGAACTTAGGAAACAGTAATTTGATTACCACTCGATGGATGCAATGGAAGGGATTATCAATTAGCATATCATCATAGATAAACAAGCAAAATATTTCAACAAACTCAAATGTCAGCACACGAACGAATTTGAAGCATAATTAACAGTAACTACGCTTAATTCAACATGAAAAGCTGTTCAAAAACTGTAATCTCACCTGGTTTGAATCTGCAACTCTTGCGTTGTCTCCTGAAGTATCTGGAGATTCAACCGTCACTGCAGTTGCAACCATCGGAGGCTGGTGAGTTGTAGTGTTAATTTGTATATTCGGCTGGGCTGACTGAACTATCCCAGCCTGTGGTTTCAGTGTGGCTAAAGCTTCACGTGCGGCTGTAACTTCTTTTGTTAACCTAAAAATTAAATTTTTTTCAAATTACATAAACTGGTTGGATTCAATATTTTTAAAAATTAATAGTTATAGTAGTATGAAATAGTAGTTATGAAAGCGACACCATATCTTACCAGTTAAGAGAATCTGAGTTTGTTCTATGGTTTAGAGAAAAGTTCTGATGAGTCGATTACCCACCTTGACAAAATTGTTTGTGAAAAAATTTCGGGCAGATATCAAATGCCCACTTAACAGTTGGTAACTTATTTCTTTCCTGGCACTGTCTACCTGCGAATGAAAGGAGGAGTGCATTGCCCACTAGTCTGCAATGTTTAACTCGATGGCTGATAAGTGGGAATTCAAGATTGGATAAATACAGGACCACATGTTTTGGGTTGTAGATTTCTACATAGAAATGCTGACATGTTATGGAACCAGAATGAACAAAGTAGGGGCTAGGCCTCGAGTCTTACGTAAAAGAGATGATTGCAAATAATAAAGAAATCGAAACACGCCCAACAATTTTGTACGCACCTGTGTAGTAAGCAATGAGTTGTTTAAACATCAGAAGATGCAGCGGTGTTGGAATCCGTGACTTATCGATTGGAAGTCATCCCCCTAAACTAATGAGCCACAACTCCACAAGAAATGGTTAGGTTCATTACTGATTGCAGTTCGTAGGATGCTTCGTGTTTTAAACTAACATCTAGCACGAGTCAAGCAAGTATGAAGCTATAAAATCCTCATCTATTAGCATAGGATCACACATTACTGTGTAACGGTCCGAGTTGCCACAGATGACGTAAGGGCAGTAAGACAAATTTACCAAGTTTCTCACACTGAACTGTCATTTTAGTTGCTTAAATGGGGGGTGTTAAAGTTATGATGATTTAACAGTTATGGGTTAAAATCAAGCATGCTGGCGAAGAGATATACACTTTTAGTCATTTCTGAAATTTACAGCAATTCCTGTTGGTGAACTCATGTAAATCTGTGTCAAATGTTCGTCTATGCTTTTGCACTTTGTGGAAGGACCTTTTGACACGTGGAGGCAAAGGTTACGAATGTGGGACGTACGAGAGCATTGCAACAGGATGACCGGGGACATTCTACACTTGGTCGTTTGGCCACTTTCTTAAATGGTGGTTTGTTCGACGGTTTCATAGATCAATAATCATCGGTTTAACCATACATAAATGGCCATTTATTTTGATTTGGATATGTAATTTTAAGTTGTATATAGATAAGAACCTGTGAAATTAAAACGCTTCTTTATTCCGCAAACCTGTTTGTTTCCGATTTGCTCAAATATTTTTGTAACTTCGAAAACCTGTTTTCTTAGATAAAATCGGCAAACTTCATGGTAGTACGATGTACAGTGTAACGACTGAAGTATCTGTCGATTTTAATGCAGCCTAGACCTTACGTGTCGATTATTAAAAGTCCCAGTAAAAACCGTGACCCACTTTGACAAGAAGAATATAAATGAGTACAATGAAGGCAACTTTCCAGTAAGTTCAAGTAGGGCAATATGATCTTATATGCAACGACTACATGCGAAGCAATTTATAAAAGCAAGTTTTTAAAATATCACAAGATGACTAACAAAACTAGAGAAGACAAAAGCTGGTTACTGATTGTTAACCACCAGTACTCGTTGAATTTACTTAACAGTATGCAGAATCTACCAAACCACATTGTACTCTATTCGAAAGTAACAAACATGAAGTCAGTGGTTGCGATGTCGCATGACGGGTTGAAATCTTTGAGGATCTTTATTGTAGGGACTACATAGAAGCTCTACAAATGTGTTAGTGAATGAGATCTTCGACAATGAATTACTGCTTCCATCTGAATAGAGATAAGTCACCACTAAGGACACATGAAAAAACTTGGATGTCCTTAAAGAGGTACAACACCACTTATGAAAAAAACATTTTGGAAACAAGCATGCCACCAAAAATGAAAAAGCGAGGAGTGTAGGAAAGTGGACATGAAGCGACCGAACATAACTCACCTGGCAATAACACGACAAGCGGCGTCATGTTGATATAGAGCATGTGACAATTCTTGTCTTGCAGTTTGTAACTGTTGTCGGAGTGTAAAGGATTGCAACATAACAGCATCCCACTCATCCTATCAAAAAGTGAGTATTGTGAAAATATAATACCTGAAGTGTCTTCAGTATGGCAGGAATTGATGTCGCAGATGGAGGTTTGGGTCGGACAAACGCAGAGGATTTAATTTCAATCAACTCTTCAACTGCTAGTGGTTGTTGGTCTATAGGATCCGTTCCATTTTCAGCAAGGTACTTCTCGATCAACCGTCGTTCAAAAACGTAACCAGAGCGGGGACTAACAACTGGGTGCTCAGGCACCTCATTCGATAAGGAACACAACAGTGACATTCTGAAAAGGGAACCTCCGTATAAGATATGAGAATAAATAAGTGCAAAATGAACACGAACACAGGAAAAAGAATTTTATTCAGATCGTTGTACAAATTGCAATCGATAGTATCTCGGTTACCGGTTGTACAAGAGGCAGTTGTCATAGTTTTCAATCCGTGACCAGGACGTAAATCATGCTACAAGAAATATGAGAACAGCATGAAAAACTTACCCATAAAGATAGTAGAAAAAGGAGATAACATAGAATGCCAGCTTCACCATGCCCTCCTTCATTGCTCTGCTCAGTTCACTTTGATTAATAATCGTTGTAGGGTCATACAATCCTGGGCAGGACATTACTGGACGATTTTTATACCTGAGAAAACAATGTGTTGCCAGCCATAACACTACATACACTAACCTGTGAATGTGATAAGCTAACAAAGGTACGTTAAATAAGACAGTTCCTATTTGGGAAGTGAAGAGAAACAGCAACGTGTAAGTTGCGTGGAGTGCATACTCTGGTAGAACGAGCTAAATATAATAAATTAAAAGAGGAAATAGTACCGGATTTAGTGATTTACATTGATCGACTGGATTTTTGTAATCCGTTCGGAGTTCATCAAATGAGATAATCTAAGGAGACAGTCATTATACAAGGCTTAAGTACTTGGAAGATAACGAGGAATATAAGGGCAATAGTAAAAACCAAAGCCAATATATACGCTATCGCAACAAGACCGAAACCCATTTCTCAGTGAGTCACCGAAAACACGCGCTCTAACACTATTCGAGGCCAGAGGAGTCAACCGCAATTTTAAACAAACACTTTTAATGATGTAATACTTCCATCTTTTAGTATGCAGAAATTACAATTTCATTTTTTTTGTGAAGAGATGTGATATTGCGCGACATTTACATTGCGGGCGAAATGAATTAAGCGATACATGAACCATCCCAAGCTTGATTATCTTAAACAGTTTGTGAAGCCAAACGATCCAAAGGAGGAATATAAAATATTAGCTCCCATCGGTAGTGGAACCTATGGCGATGTCTTCAAGGTTAGTGTGGTTATAGGAAACAATTTACCACCCATCATTCCTAATTCTTTTTATGAAAAACCTTATCCTTACGCTTACAAAAGACAAACCACATATTTCGTCTTACGCAACAACTAATTTGTGATTAACGGAAACTCTGTTTCACTCTCAATCAGCTTATGAAGTTTTTTTGTGTTAAACTTCCTTTCCCATTTTCTTAACTCACAAAACCTTAGTACTCGATAAGTCTGGAGGCACTCTGTAGGCTCTAGCGTTTCTCGGGAATTGCTTGTTTCCCCTTTCGAGGGCTCACTGTACATTTTAGACTTGGGTCAACCATTTTGGAAATCCGCGCTGTCAATTCATGAATTAATGTGCTCTGGTAGTCCACGTTCACTGCAAATATTTACTAACCTTTTCATCTACACATTTAGGCTGTTCTTCTGTCAGTGACTGAAACCTGCTTGTCATTCGTTGAAGTAATCTGCCTGCTACATAAGACAAGACTGCCATGACTCAGAATTTGTTGCCAAAGTATTTTTTAAAATTAATCGCCTACAGATTCTTCATTATTTGCTGATAGTTATATTTGATATTAACATCATGAGCATCGGTTGTCTGTATAGATATGAGACATTCTTTCTATAGTGATTATCCTCACGCTTGTCCTTGTTCGAGGCATTTACTAATGTTGGTCACTCGTAAACAAAACTTGATGGAAAAGCAAGTAGCTCCACGGATATCCATTACTTGCTACTTATTGCTCCGTGTTTGCAAAGTCCTCACGTTAGGGTAGTAGATTAGAGCCGTTGTTGCTTGCAGACTGTTTAAATTGTGAAAATGAACATTGAGGAACCTTAGGAACCAGTGCGTTTCAAATATCTACTAAATTTCAATCATCTATTGATCCTGTATATATTTCTGTTACTGATGACTAGTAAAGTTAGTACAGTTTTCATGTCTACTGGTAGTTAACCGACTAATCTGTGTTAATCATGGCGGCTGATTTTCTTATTTTCGGTTAGATCAAGGTAGTTGGATATACAAGATAGTTGCCATTTTCTATAAGCATTATATTATCTACTGTGCTCATTCAACTGATAACAAGCTTCATCACAATTCCTAGTTGCAAACTGATTTTAATATTCTGATAAATAGCTGTTTGACTTCCTAAATATGCCTTGAGGTGAACTTTTTAGTGTAGCAACCTAGATGACTGCTACCGTATGAAATTGTCATAGCTTTCAGTTTGATGCTGATGCAGCTCAGGTTACACACTGGTGTCTTCATACCCCCCAAGTAAATGTGTAACACGTTCTGAACTGATGTATGTGTTTAATTCTGAATACTAAAATGAGATTTTAAGAAAGCCAAGCTTTTCTGATACTTTGCCAAAACTTATTTGTAGTCTAATTTACTCCAAGATACAGATGTCGGATATAACCAGATGAGTTAAAACTTTAAATGGAGAGTTTTATGAAGGCAATATCTTGTTAGTCAAAGGAAAGTTAAAAATCATATGTTTGAAAAGAAAACAAGCTTGACATTTAAAAAGAAAAACTCATTTTCAAGCATTTTAGGAGCTTGAGTGTTTTTATGATTCTGTTGATCGTTTTCACACTTCATTCCATTACTTGAATTGGATGTATTGCCCCAACAGACAGCCAAGTAGTATCTCGCAACCTCAATGCGGTTCATCGCCTTGTCAGAGAAAGACAAAATCGACGTAGAACCTCACGTTAAAATGCATCGGTTCAAGTTACCACACTTTACTGTAGTATAAAAAGAACAAATGGACTGAAAGAGACTGATATCAAAGCACATAAAGGTATATAAGAGAATAAACGATTTAAAGATGAAAGTTGATGAAAACATTTAAACTTTAGAAGGCATCTGCTCCACTGTGACGGGTTGTCAGCTATCTCATTAAGAGTCTTCAACCACTGATTTCTATCTTCGCAATACTGTGATTCTGAAAACCTGCTCTGTAAGTTCACATCTGTACTTAGCATTCTTTGATCTACTATAAAAAGTCAACTGACTTTGAATGGGCAAATAAAAATATGCTCATAATCCTCTGAAGTTATGGAAACCTTTCCATCCTTGATATGCGTTTCTCACCATCCAAGTTTGTAAGGGGTGATATATAGCAACACACTCATCGCACACTTAGCTGAAGTAGACTTAGACTAGAAAATGGTGAGACGTGGCCAAATTAAAGCATGACATCAGTGCACGACGTATTGGACTAATGATCTGGACCGTGCAGAGGAATGTTGACTTCTCGGTTGGGGTCCATGTGACATTAGGAACCAGTTGTCACCGACTCCAAATGGCATGGCTCAGATTTGATGTCAGTGGCACAGAAGTATCCATACTTTGTCCTTATCCTAACCGTCATACTGTGTTAAGTATTTTCTTATTGCTTGTTTACCGATCGATTGCTGCTACCTTGACGTTGGATAGAACACTTTGAAGCACAGCTCAAATGTCCCTCATCACCACTCCAGTTATCCAACATCCAGCATGAAACTGAATTGGACTTAGATGTCGGTCCTCCGACTCTCTTTGAAGTTGAAGAAGCTATGTCGTACCTAAAACCATGCAAAGCAGTTGGGCCTGACAGTTTGCCACCTGACGTTTTCAAGGATGGAGGTAAGAAACTGCTAGTTAAAGTAACGGACGTACTATGTGGTATATGGGAATCAGAGGTAGCGCCGTCAGACTGGTATACTTCACTGACTATCTCAGTCTAAGAAAGGAGAGATCTTGTGACAACCATGGGGGAATTAGTTTGACCAATATTGTGTCCAAAATCCTAGCATCTAAAGTTATCCGACGTCTATCTGGAGCTCAAAAACAGCAAACTCGAGAAAACTAGGCAGGTTTTAGAACTGAATGAGGATCCGTCAATCATATTGCTACCCTTCTACAGGTTCTAGGACACAGGCATACTTACCGACCAGTGGTCGACACATGCCATATTTGTTGACCTGAAGGCGGCATTTCACTCAGTCGACCATGAAGTGTTGTGGCAGTGTAGAACTGTGAAGGGGGTACCGAACAAGCATATAACGTTAAAGCTCTATACTCGAGGTCACGCAGCCTTGTCAGGGCTTATGGAGAGTTGTCAAGTTAGTTGACGACAACTAGTGGTATCCCTCAGTGATACCCACTATCACCGTTCCTATTCAACTTCGTCATAGACGTACTAATGGACATGACGTTAGATATGTTTGACTTCCCGGGGACTGACCTACTTTTCGGAGGTCATCTGGTCAACTTGGAGAACGTAGACGACATTTTCCTGCTAGGTAAAGTCGCTGACAAAGTGTAGACAGTGTATCCTGAATGCGTTAAGCAGAAGTCTGGGTGTGTTTGGCATGCATTTCGCACCTGTAGAATGTTCTATCATGCTCCAGGACTGGTGTGGAACGACTCCCAACTTTGCGAAGTGGTGGAATATGTCGACCACTTCACTTACTCGGGGTAATTGCATCAGCGCAGACGGGTTGATTGCTGACGAAATCTCAGCTCACGTACAGGAAGCCATTTGGCATTTGCCAAATTGCGTCACCTGTGTCGCCGAAGAGGTGCCTATCTGTGAAAGGACGAATATACTGCGCTGCAGTCTTTTCTGTCCTGTTGCATGGCTGAGAGATCTGGCCGTTGAAAGTATAAGATACGAAGCGGTTACAGGGTTTTGATCACAGATATCTTTGTAGTATTGCTCGGGTTTGGTGGAATCGCAGTGTTAGGCATGGTAAGGTCAGGGTCTAGGGTACTAGGCAAGACAGACAAGTCGATTGATAAAGTTGCGAACCTTCATCAACTGAGATGGCTTGGATATATACTGTGGATGCCGATCTATTGCCTACCTCGACGTGCAATACTGGGGAAATTTGGATTAGGTCAGAAGACAGTTCAAGGTATCGAGGCCAAGATCTGATATCAGTTGATGGAGTCTCTAACCGTTGGTCTGAGTCGTGTGTGTGTGTGTGTGTGGGGGGGGTGTAGACTGCCTTGTTGGAGTCCTCAAGGTGAAAGGGATCGGTGGTTAGGGACTGACTCTTCGTGACATGGCTAAGAATTGGTCGGTGGTGCAGGTGCATTCCTCCCTTAACGTCTTCTAAAGTTTTAATATTCTCAGTAACCGTTATCTTCAGGTTATTTTCTTATACTACTTTATCTACTCTGATATCATTCCTTTTTTCCATCCTCCTGTTCTTTGTGTACTACTGTGAAGTGTGACAGCTTGAGGTGATGCACCTATGTGGGGAGGTTCAGGACTGATTTCGTCAGTCAGTCAGTATTCCTCCTTGTTGTCTTATCACGACTTTTATCACTTTGACTGCTTTCTTCTCTATTACTTTATTTTTCATCTTAGTGCTTTCTTATTTAGTGTGCTAAAACGTGTAGTGGCAACTGAAAGCATTATGCAGTGATCCCCATGTTGATGTTGATGATTTATCTAGATTAGGGGGAATATTCAAGTAACTTTATAAAGTAACTTTTCATGTTCTGTTTTCGCATAGTTAGCTTTAATTCAATCACTGAAATTATCACTATTTGGATCACATTCATAGGCAGTGACCACAACACTACATTGACGCTTGGGTTTATGCGATTTATATGAAACTTTTCTAGATACGGTCTTGTTAAAGGGATATTTCAGGACACATTGTATCAGGACAGCTGTTTTTTTGCCTAAGTTGACCTTTTATCACGTTCAATTTGTTTTAAAGATTAATGTACAACTATATGCGACTGAAAAACACCGGCAGGATTAGATAAGTCTCCTAAACTATTAGATGTTTAAGCTTATGTTACCAGTGGTTTGCAAGGAAGGTAAAACTAGTATAAAATGTCCAATAAGTATTAACATTATTTCTAGGTTTCTTTGAAAATAGTTATACTCAACTATCAGTCACATGGAACGTGATTGTGAGTCTAACGAAAACTTGATACCTAGCGCATTCCTAACTCAGCTTGGTGCAAGTTTTACTTACTGAGCCTATGAGTTACATATATTGTGTAAGATCGTCTAATACACGGTTGTTAAGGCTGAAATAAGTGGATTGAAACTCGGAAAGTATTGCTTAAAAGTCGAGTTTCTGTTCTTATTCTTTTTGTCTAAAGAATGTACCTTTTTTACTTTTTTGTTAGTTTCTCATTAAAAGGAAGCTACCTATTAAAGTTATATCATCATACCTTAGGTTTATAAGGAATTCTTCATAATATACGCATCTGTCTTCATTGATGGTTTTGTTAAGTGGTTTTCGCTTTATTGTTCATTTTTTTTCTCTCGTTTGAAGCTGCTTATTTTGGGTCTTCATGTGATTAAGTGTGCTTGTTTCTTTGGCGTAGTATGACCACAAATTATATCTATATTATTATCTGGAATGTTACTATTATTATTATTATTTTTCCTTCGGGTTCCTAGTGGAATGTAGGGATTCAGTAGCACGTCTACATTTTACTCTCTTCTCTGCAATCTTTCGAACCTGGCTCCACGACAGCCCACAAGCTCTCATTTCTTCCTCATACGATCTCCTCCATGTCACCCTTGACTTGGACGCCCAACTCATCGTTTCCCATTTGGGTTCCACTCGAGCAACTGACATGGCACGTGATGTCCACGAATGGTCTTCTCAGTGTATGCCCAATCCAATCGATCTCCACTTTCTTCATCTGCATATTTGTTGAGTGATAGGTTCTTGGTTGGTTCGTTGCCAGCCAGCCACAATGAGTTCCTTGTTGCTTATTCTCATTATTCTGGCCATTCGATCTTCGGTGTTGAGTGAGCGTAGGCTGCAGCTGTTGATGTATCATGTCTGTAGTTTGTTGCAAATGCTTTTCGTGACACGCCAAGTTTATGAACCATACAGGAGCACTGACTTGACTCAATCGGTGTTGAAAATCCGGATGTTGTTCACGCTTTATGCTGAGTGCAAGAGACTTCTACACTGGTTTCAGATTAATGAAAGCCTGTCTTGCTTTTCCTATCCTGGCTGGCTTTGACATCCTCGTCTGTGCCGCCTGTAGTTTTAAACGATGCTGCACAGGCTAGATAGGTGAAAGAGGCTACTTCCTTCAAGTTTCTCCCGTTAGTGATGATTGGTGTTTGTTGTAGTTGTTGTTGGTTGAGTATCTCCATCACCTCTGTCTTCTGAAATGTTAATATACTAAGCCAAATATAGAAACTAATATATAATTTGAACAAATGAAAAACAAGTTGATTTGTAGAATAAAAGGGACATCACTTTATTTCACAGATTTTCATCAACTGCACACAAAGAACAAAATGTATGAAATAATATATGATTGTCCAATTTGTCTTCGCTCTCTTCTAAGTAAAATCGCCTCCTATCGGTACACCTTATATCTCTTACGGTGTCAACAAACTCGTACAGTAGACACTTAACTGTGCCTAATATGGGGGGTCTACTAATCCTACCTATCAGGTACATATTTTTCAGTAGGTGGGGCGGTGTTCGAACCCACGACCGCCTAAACCAATAAGCCACAACTCCATTAAGTTATTATATGGAAGATTATATCGGCTCAGCGCTAGCGCTTTTTCTGGTCATGGAAGTGTGATAATTACTGTGTAATCTCTACAAACAAATAGTTATCGGTTTAGGTAACTTCATGATAATAATCATTCAGTTGTGTATAGCTTAGAATAGAATTTAATTTTTTTTTGTAGTATTTAATGTGTAGATGGAAATGAAAGCCCCCCTCCCCCTTCACTTTACCATAAAGCCAATGAGAGATAACCACCATTGCATGCCTTTAGTTCGGGTCGTAGGAGATACCAGTTTTATCCTATAATCACCAGTCAGTTTATTTTATTATTATTGTTATTATTACTATTTTTCCCTTGGGTTCCTAGTGGAACATACGGCTTCAGTAGCACACCTCCATTGCACTCTGTTCTCTTTAGTCTTCTGGACCTGGTACCACGATTACCCACAAGTTTTCATTTCTACCTCACATTATCTCGTCCATGTCACCCTTGACTTGGACGCCCAAATCGTCGTTTCCCATCTGGGTTCCACTTAAGGGCTTGGCACATGATGTGTTTAGTCGGCCTTCTAAGTTTATGCCTAGTCAGTCAACTACTAAAATCCAGGGATTCAAACCAGATTGTTAACCCAGGATGGAAGGAACAAATGACAACAACGAGTACTACTACTTGACCTTAAAAACTACATTGAGAAACTGTTTGCTAAACAGTTTTACTAATGTCTCTAGTCTGAATCTTTTCTTGGTTCCAATCATCACTGTTAAGCATTAAAAACTATCTTATGGAACATATAACGAGTTATGAATATTCACGGTAACTGAAAACGACAAAGTTTCTCATATAAATCTGTTAATGTTTAAGATTGATAAAAGTTTATAGTGTATTATATGAAATCTACCTTCCGAAATTAGATTCATTATCCAGGCTGTATGAATTTGAACTCTATGAAACCAATTCCATTGATGTGAATCAAACATCAGCAGTAAAGACGTCAGGTTCAGAGGGGAGAGGAGGGGCTAACTTTCAATTTTCAGTGGAGATCCTATTGTGTAATTGAAATATCTCAAATTTTGAATGCCTAACATATAGAGTTTTTAATCTTCATACCATTAAATTTTATCTATTATTTTATCATCATAGTAATAAATTAAAAAAATGTTGTCAACTTGTTTTCTAATCTGAAAACTTTTATTTTTTTTAGGCAGTTCATCGTGAGAAGCGTACATTGGCAGCAGTTAAGGTTATGAAAATTGATCTTAAAGATGATATACGATCAATTTGTCAAGAAATACATACTTTAAGAGAATGTAGACATCCGAATATTGTACAATTCTATGGTAGTTATCTTAGGTAATGTTTATTTACTAATCATATTATAAAATTAATTTATCTTTAAGGAATAACAAGTTATGGATATGTATGGAATATTGCGGTGGACAATCTATGCAAGATATTTATTTATGTATGCAATAATTACTTATCATAAACAATGTTGTATTAATTATCTTTTTTTTTTTTCTCTTATTTGTTTGTTTGTTCTTGCTTGTACAGATACTAGACGTCCATTAGAAGAAGATTGTATTGCATTTGTTTCTAGAGAAACTTTGCAAGGTTTAAACTTTATGCATAATCGTGGACGTATTCACAGAGATATTAAGGTTGGTTACTGTGTATATTTCTTAATTATCATTTTTATACTATTCTACTTCTTTTAGGGTGCTAATATTCTTTTAACAGATGATGGGCATGTTAAAGTCGGTAAGGTTTACTTTGATTTATAATTCTTTATTCATGTGCTTATTTTCATTTTTATGAATTAGCTGATTTCGGTGTAGCTGCTCAACTGAGTACTTCAATTGCCAAACGAACAACTTTAATTGGAACACCTTACTGGTAGGTGATGTATATATGTATATCTAAATCCTACTTCTCATCATAGCATATAAACCTGTTGTGTTTTTCTTGCTAACATATGTTACATATGCCTATTTGCTTTCTGCCTCGTTACACAATGTTCACCGAAATAGGTTCAAGCTGGTAAAAGGCTCAAGGTGGCCAGACTAAAACATGGCATGAATGTATGAAATCCCTTGACTGTTGGTTTGAGCCATGTAGGGTGATTGGGGTCGCTGGGACAAGAGGAACCAGTGGTTGGAGACTGACTGTAGGTGATATGGCTGAGAACCGATGTCAGTGGCGCAGTTGTGTACACATTATCTTCATCTTAACGAAGCTATACTGAATCTCACCATTTTGTTATTCTTCCTTTCTCCCTTTTAGTGCCTTATAGTTCTTGTGACTGAATTTCCTCTTCATCTTCTACTTGACTGTCTTTTTACTTGATGTACTGATATGTGAGGTGTGGCGACTGGTATCGTTACTCAGTAATGCCTGGTCCTATGTTGATTTCGATGGATGGATGCTTGCAGATTTGTCAACAATTTTAGGCTTATTACTTACTCTAACTAGGTGAGTGGTAATAACATAGTGATAATAACAGTAACCATATCTCTTGGTGCAAAATGTTATTATATCAATCTTGAATAAACGGAAGCACAAATTCATTCATAAAGCTCACTGATTTTCATTCCACGACCCTTAATCTGTAGTTGTAATTTAGTTCATCTGCTGGTATTTTTACAGTCAGCTTACATTACTAGTTTGTTCTGAGTAAGTGTAATTCAGAGACGTGCAGACGGAACAACTTTGATAACAAAGCTCATAATGTTTTGTAATTTATTTTAGGATTGTTATCGTGAGACAAGCTCTGGTTTTCCATTTAGTACAAAATAATATTAACTTGCTTCATATTGAGTGGAGAACAGGTGTTTTTCTTGCGACAACAATGCTAACAAGTGATACATACATACATATACGCAACCAATATGAGCCTTGTAAAAAAGTATTAACTTGGTCCGACTGAGAGCTACTACCTCGACATGGTGATCGGATTTATATATCACAGTGATCTAGCGAGCGACACTCGTTGGAACGTTTACTCTATCAAGGTCTTACCGTACCAGAAAGGTCTGTTGAGTAGTGGTAGGATGTAAAACATTTATCGTTTTGGTGTAAATTGTTGAACTGTGATAGGGATACAAGTGCGAAGTCGTACTGCTTGCTGAACAGAGTTTGACAGGATTGAAGTATTTCTCCGATATAACCAGGAGTGCAATATCAATTCTACTTTTTTGGTGGATTAAAAACGGGGCTTAAAAAAAGGTGACCTCAAAAATTCTATGCTCCTCCCTGCCCTGTTGTCTTCTAGTGCCTGTGGTATATGTTTTTCGCGCCCGAGGTTGGAAGCGATCATCGCCAAAAAGTTGTATATGACACACCTCAAGGAGATGTTCTATGAACTCTTTGTTCACATAAATCTTCTTCTCTTTCAAGTATCCTGCAGAAACAACTTCCAGGGAGGGAGTGAGGAAGTGGGACATGTCAACCACCCGCATGCCTCCATTATTAACTTGGTTAACACCTCCCTAAAAGTATATTTAAGGAGTAACTCTCACAAGCGATGTTATGAAGTACAGAGAAAAACATCAAGGGAAATCGTATATCCAAATACATTTGCCAGTCTGAACAAATGATGCTAAGTATGTTAGATTTGCTTTCCTAGATTATACTTCTAGACCTCTCTTACTCAACAATCCTGCATTTCTGAGAGAAAACACTACAATCTATATAGAAGGAAACACTCTACTTCACTGCTTAGTGAAGCCGGTGTGCTTCATGGCGCTGTCCTTCCCGCTTTCCTCTTCTCTTTCTTTTTGTATGACTTACCAACATCAACTAAAGCTAACTCTGCTGAGTATGCTGATGACCTGATAGTATCCAAGTCGATCATCTTCTCTGCTGATTGTTCTCATTTTAACAACTTACAGGAAATTGGTTACTAGTCTTCCTTAAATGACCTCAAACTCAATCCATCCAAATGTTAGATGGTTAATTTTAGCTTAAGACCTTTGTACATTGTTTCTGTCCCATGACTGTTGTGTTATAGATGGCTCTGTTTTGTAGAGAATGTGGTAAGCGTGGTCCATCTTGGCTTATGCTTTTCTTCTGATCTTTCTTAGTCCCCTCATATTGTATTGATTTCTAAGAAAATCCTTCACTTGACCTTTTATATTCAGAAACTCAGACTGTCTGGGGTAACTCAGCTTCTACTCTAATGTTTCATTGATTCTTGTGTTTTACCTGTACTCACCCATTGTTGCTCTTTATTCCTTCTTGGACTCTGGAAAAAAGACTACGTTGTATTGCGTAGGATTTTCAGGGCTGTTAGTAGAGCAAGTACCACATTCCTAACAGAGCTGATAAATGTAGTCGTAGATAGGCATGTGAACACTTGTAGACTACTGGCTGGAAATAGTTTATCTGACGATAGGCATCCTCTACATCCGCACCTCTTTCCATGTCTGTCGTTTGGGAAGACAAGAAGTAAATATATTTAACTCTATACACGCACAACCACATATAAAAATTCAACCATACCACCTTATTTAGCCTGTGTATTGTGTGAAGAAAATCATGTTAGACGTAGTCGTATCAGTCAACTGTGTAACAGCGCATACTTATTATGTCCCTAAAGTCATTAAACATTTCAATAATCCTATTATTCGTAATTCTTTATTATATATTGTTAAACAGAATTATAGGACGGAGTATAGAATGGCAGTCAACCGTCTACCTCAACTTTATCGACTTAGAAAAGGCCTTCGACAGCGTCGACCGAGAAGTAATTTGAAAACTGCTTCAACATTACGGAGTGCCACAAATCTTTATCAACATCATTCAACAGCTATATGAAAACGCGACATGCCAAGTGATCCACAATGGAAAGCTCAGTGATGCCTCTGAAGTGAAGACAAAAGTAACACAAGGTTGCCTACTATCCCCCATGATATTCCTGGTTGTGGTGAACTGGATCATGCAGCCAACTGTGAGTAACGAGAAGATGGGCATACGCTGGCTGGATCGATGAAAAGACCCTAGAAGATTGGGATTTCGCCGACGATTTGTGTCTAATGTCACACAAACTTGAAGATGTACAGGCAAAAACCAACAAGTTGACAGAAGAGGCAGGGCACGGCAGCGAAAACGGGACTTCAAGTGAATGTAGAGAAGACAAAGGTGATGAAGATACTGAACCAACAACAGGATGAACAACAAGCACCAATGACCATTAACGGGAGAGATCGAAAGGAAGTAGCCTCTTTCACCTGCTTAGTAGGCAGCATCGTTTCAACTACATGCGGTGGCACAGGTACAGACGAGGATGTCAAAGCCAGTATCGGAAAGACGGCGAGACAGGCTTTGATTGATGATAAATGATGAGTGTGTAGATGTACTGCAGTCAGCAGAAAGCGTGAACAAGATCCGGATTATCAACACCGATTGAGTCAAGTGAGTGGTTCTATGTGGTTGAGAGACTTGGTGTGTCAGGAAAAGCATTTGCAGCAAACTACAGACATGATACATCAACAGCTGCAGCCTACGCTCACTGGATACTGAAGATCAGATGAGAAGGTTAGGAATAATAAGTAAGAAGGGACTGTGGTTGTGAAGGAACCAAGCAACCAAGGAACTGTTGTCCAAGAAATATTCAGAAGAAGAAGAAGAAGAAGGTGTAGATGGATTGGACTGGACATACACTGCGAAGACTGTTTGGGGACATCAGGTGACAGGCCAGGCCAGGCCAGGCCATGGAGTGGAACGGAGATGGGAAAGAATGAGTTAGGCGTCTGAGGTGAGGGTGACATTGGGGAGATGGTGTGAGGAGGAAGTGGAAGCTTGTGGGCAATCGTGGATGCAGTTTCAGAAGACTGCACAAAGGAGAGTGCACTGGAGACGTGCTACTGTAGCCGTATGTTCCAATAGGAACTCAAGGGAAAAAAATAATAATAAACAGAATCATTGTTATTGTTTTAAAAATGTTATTCCTTGGTTTTAATTGATGTCATAACACACGCTGTGAATTCTGTACTGTAAAAATAACTATAGTGTGGAATAAAGCAAATATGGTGTTATTAATATCATTATTACTATTATTATTAAAGTAAACTAGGGAAAGAGAGAAGAATACTGCACCTACTATATGAAAGCTTATGATCACTAAGGTCAAAGTAGAGGGAGCTAGGTTCGAACCCGAGACTTATTGCTAGAAAATCTAGTCTCTCAGCCAAATGTGCTAAATCTTTACACCTTCAGCTTCTTGACTATATACTATACATATTGTATAAGTTGATTATATCAATTGGACACTAAATCATTTGTAGATGAAATGAAGTTTATGTACATACTTCATTGACACTACCGATCTACTTGGAAGCTATAAATTATTCGGTTATATACATATGTAATAAACGCTATTTGAATAACGTAACCATAACTATTCATTCCCATTTTACCTCTGCTTTAAACTATCAAATTTTTGATCAACTAACTCTTAAATAATTTTTTTTTTAAAAATATTAATTTTAATAGGATGGCACCTGAGGTAGCTTCAATTGAATCACGTGGATCTGGTTATGATGGAAGATGTGATATTTGGGGTGTTGGTATTACTGCGATTGAATATGCTGAATTACAACCGCCAATGTTTGATCTAGATCCAAGGAAGTAAGTTTGTCTATATATTATATCTGCATAAAATATTCAGATTATAATTTAGTATATAGTTTAAAATATGATTATATAAAATATATTCATTTCTACTTTTGAGGGAGTTGTGGAGATTTGGAAATATTTCAGGTTGTTATTCATCGAAGACTGATGTCAGTCTTCGATGAATAACAACTTGAAATATTTCCAAATCTCCACAACTCCCTCAGAATTTAATTGAACTGGTGCTCATTGGTGACTAGCTTCGAGAAGTATTCCCGAAGTTCCAATGAGAAGTCGTGACCGGTGGAGTCAAAGCCTGATGGCCGTGAGGACAGATACTCAACGATGACATTGGGTGGCGGTTGAGCTATATCGTGAGCTAACAGAAGTTGGAAATATGGAGCATTGGATTGTGACCCAGTGGCTCAATGGTAACGCGCTGGCCGCGGAACCTGAAGGTCGCGGGTTCGATCCCTGCTGTTGGGGTCGTGGGTGCGCACTGCTGAGGAGTCCCATACTAGGGCGAAACGGCTGTCCAGTGCTCCCAGGTTTCCTTTGTTCCTCCAACTGATGTCAGTCTTCGATGAATATAAACTTGAAATATTCACTTCTACTTCTGTTTTTATCCAGAGCACTACAAATTCTTGGATCACGAAACTACAAACCTCCTTCTTTACAGGATCGTCATAAATGGTCAGTTTCTTTTTTTAATATTTTCCTTTTTATATGGTTTCCTTGAAGAAAATAGTTAAAAAAATATTATTCTGTCCAATTTATCATTTCTTATTTATGTTTTCTTTTCAGACAAAAGGATTTATTGTTATTTGTCCTACAGAAACATAAGGCTTCAGTAGGACGCCTCCATTGCTCTCTGTTCTCTGCAGTCTTTTGGACCTGATACCACAAGCTTTCATTTCTTTCTCACATGATCCCCTCCATGTCACCCTTACCTCGGACGCCCAACTCGTCGTTTCTCTTTTCAATCCCACTCGATAGCCTGGCCTGTCGCGTGATGTCCCCAAATGATCTTCTCAATATATGTCCAGTCCAGTCCAGTCCATTTCCACTTTCTTCTTCTGAATATTCGTTGTACCATAGCTCCTTGGTTAGTTCGTTACCAGAGTTCCTTGTTGCTTATTCTTTCTGGTCAACTGATCTTCATCTTCACTACCTAGTGAGCATAGGCGGCAGCTGTTCATACATGTCTGTAGATTTTTGGAAATGCTTTTCATAACACGCCAGGTCTCTCAATTATCACTTAGAAGCACTGACTTACCTGAGTGAATTAGTGTTGAAAATCCCAATCTTGTTCACACTTTATGCTGAATGCAGTGCAGTGCGGTGCAGTAGGTCTTCACAATGATTTCAGATTAGTGAACGAATGTTTCTCTTGCTGTGTTTCCAATCCTTGCTTTGACATCTTCATCTGTGCCACTGACGCCTAAAGTTGAATTGATGGTGCCTAGGTGGGTAGGTGAAAGAGACAACTTCCTTTAGATTCCAACCGTTAATGGTGATTGGTGTTTGTTGAGTATTTTCATCACCTATCTTCTATACGTTCACATGTAGGAAGTTCATCTTCGCTGCCTCGCTTCACCTCACCTCTTCAGCCAACTTGTTGGTTTTGCCTGTAGATCTTCGAGTTTATACGACATAAGACATTAGACATAAATCATCATCCATGCCGAAATCCAAATCTTCTTCTGGGGTCCTTCTATCGGTCCAGCCAGCTTATCCCCATCTTCTCACAACTCCTCACAGTTTCTTGCATCTTCCAGTCAACTTCAGTCCAGTCCAGTCCAGTCGACCACAATCAGGAAGATCATTGGTGATAGTAGGCGACAACCTTATCTTACTCCTTCCTGTCTTCACTCCACGTAAAAGACATCACTCAGCTTTCTACTGTCAATCACTTGGTATGTAGCCTCATCATATAGCATATAGCTGCTGTTGAATGAAGTCGATAAATGTTTGTGGTACTGAAACTGTAGTGTTGAAGCAGCTGCGTGTAGAATCACTTCTCGGTCGACGTTATCGAAGGTCTTTTCAAAGTTTATGAAGTTGAGGTGAAGAATTGACTGACATTCAGACAATAGAATCCAAATCATATTTTTCATCCAATATATTTTATTGTCCAATATAAGTCTTAGTATTGTTGAATTCAAACGAAAGATATATAATTCTTCTGTGTGAATCCTATCGTTTAGAATATCTGCATTGCCTATCACTCGAATTGTTGTATCTCTAGTTCCAGTCGGCATGTGCTTGTTTCATACAGAAACATTTCACAATGTAAATCAACTCCTATTCACTTCTGATTCTCTTTGAAGGCGACTTAACAATTAATATATTAATTAACCGTCCATCCATCCAGATCAACCTAGGACCAGGCATTACTGCGTAACGATACTAGTCGCCACACCTCATATCAGTACATCAAGTAAAAAAGACAGTGAGGTGCAAGGTGAAGACAAGAGATTGCAGTCAAAAGAAACATAAAGACCTAAAAAAGAGAAAGAAAGAATGAGAAAGTGGTGAGACTCGGTACAGCGTCGTTAAGATGAGGATAATGTATGTATACATCTGCGACACTGACATCGGTTCTGAGCCATATCACCTAGAGTCTCCAACCACTGGTTCATCTTGTCCCGTGGACCCCAACCACCTAGACTGCATCGCCCCATTGCCCGACCGATAGCTGCTACCTTGACATGGTGGTCGGGCTCGCATATCACAATGACCCAACGAGCTACGCTGGTGGAACACTTGTTCTCTCAAGATCCTACCATACCAGAAAGGTCTGTTAGATACTGGTTAGACGTTGTGGTGTAAATTTCTACACTATGATGGGGGTTTGGGGGCGAAGTCGTACTGCTGTTAGCTGGATGGGGTGTGACAGCAGTAAGGTGTTTCGCTTGGATAAACAGCAGCGCCATGGTGATGCTGCCTTCTCAGTGGAAGGGGGGGGTTAGAAAAGGTCAGCCCCAAAAATACACTCCAGCATACCCCACGATCTTCTGGGCCGGCAGTGTTGGTTCATTTGTCGTTTCTTTTTGACCATCCGGCCCCTAAAATATAAAAGTTCAAAATAATCATACTCAAAAGGCTACGTGTGACAGGCCTCAAGTAGATGATAACTAACCAACTCCTATTTATCGACAACAGAAGTAGTGTTCTCTGAATTTCTAATTATATGATGATCGGAGTTGTTCTAACTACTCAAATTGTCCAATAGTAGTATCTTTCACTAGTTTACAACACTTCTGTCTCAGAGATTGACATGTTATGATATTGGCTGACAGGTGGTTTCCAGCGAAAACCCTATCGACTGATAGCATAGTTAGGGGGTGGCAGTTGAAAAACTACTCAGCTATGATTCAGCTAGACCTATTTCTGTGATCTGAATCGTTGGGTGTTTCGATCACTCTGATGTGACTGGCAAAATGTACACATCAGCTTGAGTGGTTGTATAGTAATTTTATGTTTCCACTTGGCAGTAGGTGCTTTTCTAAAGGTTATAAGTTATTACAAGACTGTAAATGTAGTCTCACTGGAAAGCTATCCGATTTATACCTCTTCACTTGACATTTATTCGACACATTCAGCCTTTTATAAATCAAAAGCCGTTTCAATATGTGAAAATCATTGTCGAATTGTACACTAACTGGATCATACAGAGTCTCTTCAGTATTCAGAAAGGTGATCCCACTATTAATCTATGTCTTAATGTATAAACGTAGCCATTCTATGAAATCGTTAGTTATCAGTTACCAGATAAGTTTAGAGTTGGTTGAGTTAGTTTGGTTACAGGGAAACAGCATTACTTACGGGATTGCGTTTCAGACAGGATTTATTGTCCATAGTAATATCAGAATAAAATTGATAATACTGTCTTATTGTGTGATACATCAACTGTAATGGAATTACATTCTGTTATACTGCTCAATTTTCACTTTTATTGAAATGCTGTATATAGTCCATTAAGTTTCTCTTTGTTAGTCAAAATACGTGTGAGAAGGTTTAGACTACCTGATTAGGGTTCTTGAGACCATAGAAATCAATGGTTGAGAACTCTTGGTAATATATCTGAATGTCTCGGTCATAATGGTGCAGATGTATTCATTGCTTGATGTCTTCTAAAACTTGAATATTTCCACTGACTGTCATCTTCAGACTGTCTATTCTCTGACATGATTTCGTCTACTTCGATATCATTCCTGTGAAATGTGACAAATTGAACTGATAAAGTTATGTGTGAGAATTCTGTATGGTTTTTGTTTATCTGACTTTCTATAGAGATGAAAAAACTGTCGATTAAATGTAAACTTATTTCATCAGTAATTATTGTATTATATAGTATCTTTTTTTGAGGTTATAGTTAACAGATATTTTCTCATTTCTGTCTGATAATTGAAATTGTCTTCTACTACGCATTTCGATAAAGTTTATAGACATATGATGAACTGTTATAAGAAGCAAGTTATAATAATCTTATCGAAACTTCTTCAAGAATATCAAAGTAGTAGATTATACACACTAGCAACCGGTAATAGACCAAACTCTAGAGACGTCTAACAGTGGTTAGTTTAATTATAATGCAAAGAAACTCGAAGACAGAGATGAAGGAAGGGTTGTTTATCATTAACAAGTGGTACGGTAGCCGTTAAATATGCTACACCTTGCACCAAAACCGTCATTTTCAAAATGTGCTTCATTTTCTCTTCTGCTTCTTTCTTGATTTGCTCTTCATATGCTCACGTTGTCTCTTGTGTTTCTCTTGTCAGAATCCTTACCCATTGCTGATAATTCCCTATGATCTCTGTCGTCCTTCCAACATATACTACTTATATCCATCCTTATCAGCAACACCTCACTACAATAATAATAATAATAATATGATTTGACCATCTAAGATAGCCGTAGTTTAGCAGACTAGTATTTGTACTGGGTGATGATTGAAGTGAAATAAAATTCTGGTCAGCAGTCGGATCTTGTTGCTCAGTTGGTAGAGCCCCGGGTCGGTAACTCGGTGGTTGCTGGTTCGAATCCGGCAGCGGTCCAGATTTTCATCTCACCGTCAATCATCACCCAGTACATATAATAATAATAATAGTCTCTTTAGTCCAAACAATATATATGACAGTATGGAATTCTCAGCATGTAATTTTTTTGCACCGACAAGTTTACTTCTGTACAACGTAACCTTTTTTTCTTCTCTGCTTTGTTACTGATTCAAGAAACAGAAAGTTGAAAACAGTTTAAAAATGCACCAGAGTACATGATATGTTCAAAGGATACATTTAAATGATTAAAACAAATTGAAACGAAAAAATTAGATGAAAAATGTTCGATAAGTAAATTTGGTAATCCAAGGTTCAAGGAGGTCACCGGAGGGGGGATCGCTTGCACAAAAGCGTTGTACATCCACCACTTACTATATTTCAGCTTAAGTTTAATAATGATTTCAAACCGATGTTTATCAAATCTTTTAGATGAACTCAGAGTATATATCATAGTACATTCCTACGATCCACCTGGAGAGTAAACATAAATGTGTATGTAGTCTAGTGTATATTAGTAACAGGAAAGATTCTGTAGGCATGTGGTTTTCATTATTCCCATCTCCCAAGTAATGATTTTGTTACCAGTGTCCTTTGTGTGTAAGCTTCATCAACTGTTTAGAGCTAAAAAAC